TTATATTTCAAGTTTAAAGATTCCTCTAGCTGAGATTTATATGGTGATCCAGTAATTTGTTCAGCATGATTTACTTTTTATACTTGTTCGCTTTTATTTACCTGTTCCTTTTTATACCTGTTCGCTTTGCATTTTTAATGTCAAGTCCAGCTAGTGATCCAAATCTAACACCATAAGGTTGTGAGGTCTCATCGTGTGAGTTGGCTAATTCTGATGACTTTTGAAGTGTAAATGATGAATTTGGTGAAATAGATTCTAAATAAAAATTATTTAACTAAAGAGGGTGAATAAAAATAGGTAACATGCAAATTATAAAAAATAGTTAAAATGTTTTTAAAAAATTTGAATTTTCTTAAAGAAACCTTTTTTTAGGTTAATAAAACAACAGATGAGTTAATATAATTCTTGATTTTAAAAAAGTCATATTTGTATTTTAAATAAAATGCGGAAGATGTTAAAAATAACAACATTTATGACGATTTACCTTTTTGAGTGCCAATAACACAATCTGTAACAAAATCAATATTATCTAATTTTTTAGCAGAGTCTAACCCATTGTTGAGAGTAGGGTGCATTTCAGAGGTATTATTTGGTTTAGAAATTTTTGATACAACATACGAGTGGTCAGTAGTCTTGGCTGCAGCAAAGTCTTCTTCAGTAAACAAATTTCTATCAAATGTATATATTCCACATTTTTTAAACCCTGACTGACAATTTTGAACAGTTGCAGCTTTCCCATAGGCTTTTCCAAATAATTCACCAACCTTTAGTTCAGTTACGGGACGACCAGAATGGTGACAAAGCCAAGTACTAACCTCCTGATCATAGAATATTTTGAGGCTTTTAAAAAAAATAAAACATCAAGTGGTTGCAGTTTGTGGGTGCAGTGGGATGGAAGTGATAAAATAACAACATTTGAGTGGTGCGCTTTTTACAGGGGTGGGACCGCAAAATGTGAACGTTTTTGTTTTATTATAACTATTTTCTCGTTAGATGTAGTTGTACTCTCTCACTCATCAGAAAGTGTCTAAAGAGTTGTTAAGTATGAACTATTTTAAATAAGAATGTCCAACCATTGGACATTTTTATTTAAAATAGTTCATATTTAACAGAAAATTAATTATTACAATCAGAAAAGTGTTCACATTTTGCGGTCCCACCCCTGTAATAATACTAAGATTTTTTTTATGTCTTGAATGTCCATCTAAAATTAGAAGAACTGGTTGGTTTCTTGACTGAGGCTGGACTGCTTGTTAAAAATGATCAAACCATATTTCAAACAACTCAGTTGTTATCCAGCGATTTTTGCTGCCACCAGAAATATAACCTATTGTGGCTTTATCTAAGAATTCAGGTTTTTTACTAGAATACGTGGATAGATCAACATCGGAGGGACAAAAAACCCGCTTGCTGATTGGCAACAAACTATTGTGATTGTTTTACCTCTTTCGGAGCTTGTTAAGCCACCAACACTGTGTTTTCCCTTAAGAGCAACAATTTTTTCTGGTTTATGGCAAACAGACAATCCAGATTCATCTACGTTGAATAAGTTTGATAGTGGAATAATCTGCATCCCATTAGCATTATGGCATTAGCAATGACGTTGACTCAGCAACTCTGACAAAGAGTTCATTATGGCGTTTCAAAAAACCCCTAAACCATTCTTTTCCTGCTGACTTAGTTGCACAATTAAATTTGTGATTAATTCTATTTTCTTCACAAAACTGAAATACCATTTGTTTTACATCTTTTGGAGACCAACCAAACAATCTCTGTGACATGGTCAGAAGAACTTCTACGAGCTCTTTTTCTTGAAAAGCTGAGAGTGTTGTTGGATGTCCTGCACGTAACTTTTTAACAAAATTATCAACAGGTGCTCTTTTTATATAGTCATGTAGTGTTTGTCTTGGTATTTTATATTGTTTAGCAGCAGAATATTTTGAGCAACTATCAACTAAAACTGCATTTACTGCCAGTTTTAATGATTCTTGTGACCAATTACCATATTTTACACGTTTTGAACTCATTATATGATGCTGTAAAATAATGTTTACATATATATATATATATATATATATATATATATATATATATATATATATATATATATATATATATATATATATATATATATATATATATATATATATATTATATATATATATATATATATATATATATATATATATATATATATATATATATATATATATATATATATATATATGTATATATATATATATATATATATATATATATATATATATATATATATATATATATATATATATATATATATATATATATATATATATATATATATATATATATATATATATATATATATATATATATATATATATATATATATATATGTATATATACAGTGGTGGCTCAAAAAATTAGAGCCACCTCGAAATTTAGACAATATTTGAGTTTCGACTGTGAAATTAATTAAAATACATACGGATGTCCAGTTTTTGTCATTGTTAATTACTTTGTTTTGAACATATTTTTACAATGACAACACTATTGAGCGGTTTAGAGTGAAGTTAGTTGCATTATTGCAGAAGATGTCACATTTTAGCACGTGTTGTACTGGGCGATAGTTGTGTTTCTGGCGGTTTTTATTTGTTGATTTTATATTTTTACACCAAAATTTGTTTATTTTACTGTTCAACACTTATTATATATTCTATTTACAAGTAAGTTATCATTATTTTACAACTGTTTTATCATATTTAAGTAAATTTTGCAATTTTTTAAAATAATTGGTGTTTTTAAGGTATGGGCAAAGAGAAAGACATTTCTCCCACAAAACTAGGGCTTATTCAAGGATATTTGTCGAGTGGAAATCATTCCAACAGGCAAATTGCCAAGTATGTGAATGTTTCCAGAGCAACAGTCGATAGGATTAAAAGAAAACTGGACAATAATCAATCACTAAAATTGAATAAAAGAAAAAATTGTGGACGAAATCGAATTACAACGCCTCGCACCGAAAGAAAAATAAGTTGTGATAGAAAATAGGAGAAAATCGAAAAAAGTGCTCAAGGAAATCACAAACAATGAAGGTATAACAATATCCCTTGCAACACTTCGGAGATGAATGGCGGAGCATGGGTTTAAGGCCTGTAGACCAGCCAAAAAACCAAGGCTCACCCAGGCAATGAAGGATAAACGTCTCCAATGGGCTAAAAATCATCGCCATTTTACCACTGATGATTGGGAAAGAGTATGTACTCAGTTTCTCTTCATAAACACATTAAAATTTAAACGAATACCATATTAAAAAAAAAGATTATAAGTATTTCATCAAAAATATTAACCCTTTTTAATAACCCTTTTAACCATCTTTTAATATTTTTTAAAAATATTAAAAAATATTTTAAAAAATTTGAAAATTTTAGGTTTGCTTCTCAGATGAACCCACATTGGAAATTCTAATGGATAAAACTAATTTCGTCCGATGAAGGACAGGTGAAATGTTCAATGAAGATTGTCTTAGTCATTAGTAGCCAGGGTACTGGAAGGTTATACATAGTAAAAAATACAATGCGGCAGGACCAGTACATCCAAGTCTTGAAGGAAAGAATGATTCCTCAAGCGATGGAGTGGTATCCGAATGGGAACTTTACCTTCAGGCACGACTCTGCTCCATGCCATAAGGCAAAAACTGTAACAAAGTTCTAAGAGGCTGAAAAAATCCATGTTTTACCCTGGCCAGGAAACTCGCCCGACCTAAATCCCATAGAATAATTATGGGAATTGTTAAAGAGAGATATAAGTAAAAATCTTATAACAAGTAAAAGAGATTTGATTGAAAAATTAATAAATGTTTGGCACCACAGCTAGGAAATAAAAAAAAATTGTCAAAACCTCATCAAAAGTATGACCAGAAGAGTTGAAACCGTAATTGCTGCAAAAGGTGGCCACACTAAGTATTGGTGATTTTGTATACAATATTTTGTATATCTTATTTATTTTTCCTAAATATACGTTACACTTCTATATTTTTGTCATTTACTATTATTTATATCCTATATTCCCAAAATAAATAGTTGTAAATTTAACTCATTACAAAATATAGGGAAAATCAGCTTCAGAATATGAAAATTTGTAAAAATGTTGGGTGGCTCTAATTTTTTGAGCCACCACTGTATATATATATATATATATATATATATATATATATATATAAATATATATATATATATATATATATATATATATACATATATATAAATATATATATATAAATATATATATATAAATATATATATATATATATATATATATATATAAATATATATATATATATATATATATAAATATATATATATATATAAATATATATATTTATATATATATATATATATTTATATGTATTTATTTATATATATATATATATATTTATATATATATATATTTATATATATATATACTTATATATATATATATTTATATATATGTATATATATATATATATATATATATATATATATATATATATATATATATATATATATATATATATATATATATATATATATATATATATATATATATATATATATATATATATATATATATATATATATATATATATATATATATATATATATAAGGTACGCGTACTGAAATTTTTATATTGATCATATAGTAGAATGTTATATATCATTAGAAAAGCCTTTAATACAGTATTTTAAAGGTGAAAAAATTATTAAAAACGAACAACTCTAAAAAAAGTTATAACATTTTTAGTAGCAAGTTTTAGATATGTGGAATTGTTGAAGAAACTGTGGTCAAAATAGTTATTTTTTTTCACTTAAATTGTTATAACTTTGTCAATTTTTATCCAAATACCTATATCTTGGTATCACGAGATAGGTGCACTAATGGGTTACAAGTTATTTTTGGTGGCTTGATGTAGGGTGCATCTTGGGAACCAGAGAGGGTAATGAAACACCATCTAATCTTTATAAAAAAATAAGTTTTAGTCAGAAATAAGCACTTTTTAAATGTATTTGTTATATTTTATACACAAAATATTGCCATAACTTGATTCCAAAACACTTCGAAACAAAATAAGGTGATCTTAGAGTTGGCCATAGATGTGGTTGTGATGTTAAAACACCCTACAATAACACAAATACAATAATCATACTTTCTAATAAATAATTTAATCTTTTTTAAAGTAATTAAATAATTGGTTAATAAGTAAAAATATATTTTTTTACTATAAAACATACATTAGTGATGTACAACACTAACTTTAGGGAAGGGTGTATGTCGCACCGCCCCAAACCTCCTCCCCTCCCCCGACCCATAAAAAATAAAAATAATTTTATCTTTATTACAATAATTAAATGCATTGTTCAAAATTAAAATAATATTTTATTACTATTCAACATATATTATTAATGTACACATTGACTTGAAATTAAGGAAGTTTGATGCACCACCTCCCCCCTCCCCCCACCTGACAAAAAATAATCTTTTATAACTATACAACATACACTAGTATTGAAAATATTGTTGTATTACATAAAACAATATTTTTTTTACTATAAAACATACATTAGTGATGTACAATTTGAGGAGAGGGATGGTTTTTCCTCTTCCCCTCAACCAACATAAAAAAGAAAACACAGAAATGACATTTTCACATGCAATAATTAAAAAAGAGAAAGCACAATACATAATTGTTTTACCAGATTACAAGTTGCACAAGTATACATTTTTTCATTTAAATGATCATATTTAACCCACCAACCTAATAAAAAAAAAATGTTTTGAAACATAGTAATTATTCTATGTCTTTGCTTTTAGTAAATGATTTAAATTTTAAGTTCGAAATGACCTATAAGCTTCATATGTAAGCTCTAAAAACAAATAAAATGTTAATATATTTGTAATTCATGCAATTAAAAATTATAAAATTTAAAATAAATACTTACTAAGACAGTTTGTCTGAATAAATATAAATAATGATTAATGAATCAATGGAATTTTTAATTAAAGTTAATCAGAATAAAAATTCAAACATGTATAAGCTTCTGATTCTCCTTTTATAGCATTTGGAGAAATAACAAACACAAAAGTATTAAATAGATTATATAAATAGGAATAAGTGGAACTCAATAATCAATCAGAGACATTCCAGATTCAGACGTGGCACACATAGAAAGAACTAAAGGTAAAAAATATATTATAAAAATCAATAATGAAATCAATGAGAAATTTGTGCGCATTAAAAAGAGTTGTTTAACTTACCAGGTGTAGCACAAGAGGTAGATACTAAAATTACAAAGTTGTAACAAAAAATCAATATTTAAATAACGAGAAATCCATACACATAAAATGTAATAGTTTTTTAAATTACTAGTTGCAGCAATAACTAAGAAACTAAAGTTAAACATATTGTAAAGTTTGCACATTAAAAAGTATGACTTGTTTAACTTACCAGGTGTAGCACAAAAGGTAGATACTAAAATTAAAAAATTGCAGCAAATGGGAAATCCATACACGACAAGTAATAATTAAATAAGTAGGAAATACATATATTTATTTATATTTCTTTAATTGATTGATTGATATTTATTAAAACAAAGTATAAATACATGTTCTAAAGGACACAAAGGCCCATACAAAAATGGACACTAACAACGTACCCAAAGAAGTTAAAAAATATCGCTACAAAAAAAAAAAAATATATATATATAAAGAAACAAATAGTTGTTCCTTTTACAATAGATAGTCAATAGAAGTCAAAAGATTTAACTTTATTTTTGAACGTTAAAATGTTATTTGCATTTACAACCTCCGAGGTCATATTGTTCCACATGTCAACAACTCGGTAAGAAAAGCTATTTTTTCTTAAATCCAAGCGACAAGATTGTTTGCTTATTTTATAATTATGACCCCGGGTGTGGCTGTTATTGTCAATCGCAAAGAACATAGATTGATCAGTAGAGACAAGTTTACCAAAAATTTCAAGGCAAGTTACTAAGTCGTTTTTAAGGCGCCGAACTTCGAGTGATTCAATTCCAAGCAACTGTAATCTATTATGATAGGAAGGATTTCTGAGGCTCCTTATTTTTTGTAAATTTTCATTGGATACTTTCAACTTATTTAATCAATCCAATTTGGTGTGGCGACCATGCTAGAGAACAATATTCTAATATTGCAACCATACTGGAGAACAATATTCTAAAATTGGTCGTATATAGGTAGTGAAAGCTCTAACTAGGATACAAGAGTCACGTGTTTTAAAATATTTCAAAATTAAGTATGCTCTAGAGTTAGCTTGATGGATGACGTTAAAAATATGTTTTTTATAATTAAGGTTACAGTCCATTGTTACTCCTAGATCTTTTGGGTTTGAACACCAAGCCAAAGAATATTCACCTAATTTATAGTTAACCTTTATACATTTACATAATGAGGGAGGTGCTATTCTAAGTGCAAAACACTTACTACAAGCAATTGTTAATTACCAAGTTTCTGCCCATTGCAAAAGTCTATTTAAAGCAACAACTAAATCTTTGCTTAGATCCATATCACTGTACAAACTATATAACTTTACATCATCTGCGTAAAGTTTTACACAACAGTCCAGATTATTACTTATAGCGGTTATATCATTAACATATAATAAAAACAATGTGGGACCTAACACACTACCCTGTGGAACTCCACTAACAATGCGTATAGAGTTTGATATAGAATTACCCACCTTGACTTGTTGATATCTATTGGTGAGGAAAGCAGAAACCCAATTTAAAAGATTATCTTTTATGTTATAAGATGCAAGTTTTACTAATAGCTTGGTATGTGAGACAAACGCTTTTTGGAAATCAATATAGACAACATCCTTTATTGTTGGTTATCGAGTGCGGTGTTCCAATTATTAGCAGATTCTAAGAGATTTGTACTGGTTGAACGTTTGTTGAGGAAACCATGTTGATTAAGAAAAATTAAATTATGATGACCTTTATGATGATTGATGACATTGATCATTCTTTTCATGACTCGACAGCAAGTGTCCGTGAGATGGGTCTATAATTATTTGGATCTGCAGTAGCTCCTTTTTTAAAAACTGGAGATACAAAAGCTTGGCGCCATTGTTTAGGTAAAGAACTTGACTTAAAACTGGAATCAAATATAAATGAGAGTGGAATACACAATAGATGAGCTAATTTTTTCAGAAGTATGTTAGGTATGTCATCAGGACAGTACGATGTGCTGGCTTTAATTTCCTTCAAAGATTTATACACTGCTTCTGGTGGAAACAGTACAGTTTCAATACCAATTGAATCATTAACATCACTATTAATAAATGGAAAGGAATTGTTATCGTTTGTAAAGACACTGCCCAAGTATTTGTTTAACACATCAGTTATCTTGTTATTATTGTTTTTATTGTTATTATTGTTTTTTTTATTATTATTATCTTGTTTTTATTATTATTATCTTGTTATTATTGTTTTTCTTGTTATTATTGTTTTTATTATATTATATTTATTGTTTTTGTCTTTTAGAGGAAAAATACTTTTAGAGTTATTTAATTTTCTATTAACGTAATTAAAAAATTTGCCGATATTGTTTCATTTACAAGTTTAAGTTCGACTCTCATTTGGTAAGTAATGATTTTTTACATTTACTAGCGTATTTATTATATGCTTTTTTGTGTGTAATGTTTTTAGTATTTGCCCATCTTTTCCATAAGAAAGCTTTATGATTTAACATTTTCCCGATAAAACTCAGGTAGCGTTTTATTTTTTTATTAAGATTACTCTTTCTAATGGGAACAAATTGGTAAATACCATTGCAAATGATTAGAGAAAACATTCCAATAACCTTCAACTGTAAAAAAAAAAGGAAAACTCAAAGTCCCAATTAACATTTAATAAATAAGACTGAAAACCATCAATGTCAGCATTAACGAAGTCGTAGAAGGATTCAATATTTATATTTAACTGATCAAGATCATTTATGTTAATAGAGAAGTGGACAGTGCTATGGTCACTGGTGCTGAAAGGACATTCAACTGAAATAAGACTAAGAAATGAGATATTATTTGAAAATACAAGATCAAGAATATTGTTTTCACGGGTAGGTTCCAGTACAAATTGGTGCAAACCGAGATTGTTAACTAAATTAAAAAAAAAGGATATGGCACTTTTCATTTGGTGATATGTAATAAAGCCAGTTCATTTTAGGAAAATTGAAGTCACCGACAATAACAAATTGAGATACAGAGTGGCAAAGATTATATATAAATACAGTCATACGTTCGATATAAGTCACATCGGCAATGGAGTAAAAAGGTGGGCGATAGCATGTGATTAAACGGAGATTATGCGAACTAAAAATTAAATCTTGAGTTATTTGTACTTGTTCCGATTTAATGCCATTTCTACAATAAATAGCTACTCCTCCTCCAATTTTAATGCGATCCTTACGATAGATTGAGCAATCTTTTGGACAAACAATAGAGTCAGATACCATAATAATATAGCAAAGATTCTAAATTTTCTAAATTATTTTTTTTTACATTCATCTCATAACAACTTTGCTTTATATCTTTCTGCCTCGGTTAAATCAGGGTTAATATAAACATTTTTAAACTCACTCGAATTTTTCAATAATTTTGCAACTTTTAAAATTGAATTGCGATCGTTCTTATTATTTAAAACAATAACAAAATGTGGTTGGTTACCTATTTTTGATTTGAGCTTTATAATCTGCTTAACTTCGACTTTCAGATTAACTGAATTCAAAACTTCTTGGATTGAATTTATATCCTCCTTAATTGCACTTGATTTATTGATTGCTTTCGATGGATTTATGCCAAATATTATTACATTATTTTCATGTTTTTCTCTTCCTTTTTTTCCGGCTGTAACAACATTTATTAGGTTTAGTTGCTCTACCGTTTTTTTCACTGGGGTTTTTCCACTTACAACACTTGCCCATGATAATAAAGGTTAATGGGTAATAAAAGTTATGCTATAATAACTTACCAGCTGTAGTCTGTGCATATTGGAATAAAGGAAAAACAAAAAAATTGTATAATCAAAAAAAAAACATCTTGAAATTATCAACAGTCAATAAAAATAACAGTTATTAAATCAGTTCTGCTTTACGTACAACAACTTTATTAACAAAAAAAAAGTATGAAAAAATAATAAAAAACAAATTATATTACTGTATTTTAAAATTATATTACTGTATATGAGAAAAACACTAATAAGATATTTTTATAAGAAAAAACGTATTATTGTAAAAGTATTTTGATATTTTTACAAAAATAAGCTTATCATAAAAATATTTTGTCAAAAGCGTTATTGGCTCAAGCCACTAATGTTTTACTTTAAAGTATAATAATGTCGTTTGTATATTTTTATATATATGGTGTATTAACAACATTGGTATCTGATACTATTAGTTAATAAAATATTCCAAAGTAACAGTTTAATCTTAAATCCTAATCTTCTTTAATATACCATCATTGGTATATATTACCATCATTGGTATATTTTTATAAAAATAAACTTATTATTGTAAAAAGATTATATATATAGTTTAAAAAACCTTACTCTTTGTTTACATGCCATGTAAACAAAGATTAAGGTTTTTAAAAAAGATATTATCATGAAAAACATATTAACTTATTTTTAGAAGTTTTCTTTTCCATAACTTTAACCATTTTTATTTGAATCATAATCTAATATTAAAAATTAAAATAATACAATATTTTTTTTTGTTTACAATCCGCTTCCCCCCTATCCTCCCCCATATTTTTCTTACCAACAAAACGAAAAACAAAAAAAACTGAATTTAGGTACCAAAAGTCCTACACTTCTTAAACTATCTGCTCCCAATTATTTTTTGCTGAAATTTCCCAAATAACATTGAAGGTTGAAACCTAACAAAGAATTTACGTTGATTTAACGTTTAAAATGAATGTTTTTTTCAACGTTGATTTATCAACGTTAAATCAACATTAGGTTCGTTAGGTTATATCAACGTTGATTCGATGCGAAAAAACGTTACAATAACGTTAAATTTACGTTGATACAACGTTTAAAAAGTTTTTTTAACGTTGATTTATTGATGTTAAAACGACTGTAAAGCACTTTTTCACCATCAAAACGTGCTATGTATATCAAAATGCATATATGTATGTGAACGCGCTATGTGCGTCAAAATATGATCACCATCCAAACGTACTATGCATGTAAATTAGTGTTACTGTAAATTATCAAGGTATATTATGGATATTAAATCTATACATGTAACTATAGAGGCTATATAATGGTTATTAATAACTTTTTCAACTATTTAATTTAAACAAAACAACCTTTTTTCAAAATAAATTAATAATTAAAATATAAAACATTTCTAGCATTGAAAAATAATTTTCGGGGTGGCCACATAAAATTTTTATAAGAAATTTTGTGGCCATTTATTAATGGTTTAACGTCCATGTTTATACACTTATGGGGCTTGGACAGGGATCAAATAATAATCGTTTTTTATGTTAAATAGCATGCATTTGCTAAATCAATTTTTTACAATTCCATGCACTTTAAGGCGTTAACCAGTTTTGCAGACCAAAAATGGGTATTTTAAACATACTTCCATCAAAAATTAAAAATAGATAAGTTAATGAGGAGCTTTGATCAAATTTTTACCTTTTTAGAGGATAATAGAGGATTTTAGAAGTGATTAAAAAAAAAAGAGGACTTTAGAGGATTTTAGAGGAGCTGTGGTCACCCTGATTATAAAAGAGGTAAGAGTCCAATACTGTTTTTTATTACCTCTACACAATTTTGTATATTCTATCTTTAGAAGACACTCCACTAATTAATTGTAATTGATATATCTGTAAAAAACATAAAGTAAATCTAATATTATGTTTTCGGAGATACATTATAGGTGGAGAACAATCCAAACCACACAAGTGGAAACCTGGATACAAATTTTGCATCCAGGTTTTCAATTTTTGATAACTGAACTTGTTAAATATAACTACTTATTTTATAGTATAAATTCTAAAAATATAAATATTTTTTAGGCATAAAAATTGAAATTTATATAATTCAAGCACATAAATTAATACCTACTTGGTAAATAATCAAGAAATTCTCATTGTTTATGTTTTCTTTTTTGTTAATCAACATTCTAATTATCAAATTTTTCTTTTGTAGTTGTGAATTTTAAATTTTCACAAAACTGTTTGCTTTCTGTGGAATAAAAATAGTTATACAAATAGTCATATATTTTGTATCAATAAAATAACTCTTCTTACCACATTATTTAAAAAATAATAATTGTAATATATAGATGTATTACCTGAAGAGAATTTAGGTTTTATTTGTAGAAACTTAAGCCAATTCTTCTCTGCATTTTAGTGCAGTCAATGCTTTGGTACCTGGAAGCCAACAAACAGTTTTATCACTAATCCAATTAGATGGAATTATTCTTCTTGTAAATCTTCATTCCAAACAGCTCCTTTCCACATATTTGATTTTGAAGATATTACATGAACTAATAATAAAATGAAGAAACCACAATATAAGTGTACTAACAGGCCTAATTAAACTAGCTAAATCTGAACATTTTATAATCATAATACTTGCTAAACAATATTATTTGTAGACATTATTAGCAGAGATAAAAATTTCTTTATTTTATAAATTGATTATATTTTAAATTCATTTTTATTAACATATTTATTACTCTATTATTCAGCAGAATTTTTGGCTCTAATTTTTCCAAAATTAAAATTAAAAGTAAATAATTAATATGTTTTAACTATAAATATCTATATAAGGAAACAATATATTTATATAATACAGAAAAAAAATTAAAATTCTTTTCTTGTATGTATGTATGTCAGAATTAGGTGAAACGAAGTCAATATTCTTAGATGTCTGGATTAGTTTGGCAAAAAAAATATATGACATAAAGGAGTTATCATAAAACAGAAACGAGGTCAGTAATTTTTTGACAACTTCAAAGTCTTTTAGGTTGGTAGTAAGGTTGGTGTTGCCGATTACCGAACCTTTATCCCGAGGGTTTTATGTATAAATATATACATACATATATACATATATATATATATATATATATATATATATATATATATATATATATATATTTATATATATAATATATACATATATACATACATATATATATATATATATATATATATATATATATATATATATATATATGTATATATATATATATATATATATCTATATCTATCTCTCTCTATCTCTCTCTCTCTCTCTCTCTCTCTCTCTCTCTATATATATATATATATATATATATATATATATATATATATATATATATATATATATATATATATATATATATATATATATATATACACACATATATATGTATATATTTATATATAAAACCCTCAGGATAAGGGTCGACATTCGGCAATGACAACCTTACTGACCTAAAAGACTTTGAAGTCGTCAAAAATTACTGACCTTGTTTCTGTTTTATGATAACTCCTTTATGTCATATTTTTATTTTGCCAAACTAATGCCGACCACTAAGAGTATTGACCTTGTTTCTCCTAGTTATAATAACTCCTTTATGTCATATATTTTTTTTGATACCTCTAGATAAGATTAATGAACTGCTAGAAATAAAGTGTATTGATACTTCATCTAGATCTTTGATATTTTTTAACAAAAAATCTAACTTTTACTAAATCATAATTCAAGCATATTAAATAATTGCCTACTTGAAAAATTATTTTTTTTTTGTTGAGAAAATCAACATCCTCATTTTTTTCTTTTTTCCTTAGTCGTTGTGAATTTAAAATTTTTACATTATTATTTGTTTTCTATAGAAATGAAATAGTTATAAAAAAATCTTCTTTTTAGCTTATTATTAAGATTTAAAAAAATAATTAAGAAATAGTTGTTATACCTGAAGAGAACTTAAGTTTTATTAGCGGAAACTTCAGCCAATTTTTCCCAGGATTTTGACGACACTTCATTGCATTCAAAGGTTTGGTACCTGTTGGCCCAATTAAAAGGAATTACACCTTCCTCTTCTTGTAAATCTTCTTTCCAAACAACTCTTTTCCACATATATAATTTTAATAATATCTTATAATAATTTTAACTAATAATAAAATAAGGAAACCGTAATATAAAAATTATTTGAAAACATTATATTATAGACAAAATAGCAAAGTATATTACAAGATATCACACAATCTGAATGTTCTCTGATTACAAAAGAATATTTGCAAAGAAACATTTAACCTTTTTTTATATTTAATGTCTAATAGTAATACTATTACTTTGGTCTTGAAACTAGTATACCAAAAGCTGTTTCTGCATCAAACTAAGATTTAGTTTTTATAAATGAAACAATACTTATTGATGTAAATATTGATGTTTTTTTACATTTATTTAAGTCTAAATTAATACTAATACCTTGGTGATCAATACTAATAGTATTGACTACCACACTTCGACAGTAACTGATTTTGAAGTCTGAAGCAAAGTTCTTTTAAAAGAACTTTGCTTCAGACTCCAAGCTCTTTTACACATCCACGTGAACAGCAATACTCTACTGCCCATTTCACCAGTGTATAATTAAGTGAAATATGTTTTTTTTTTCAATTTCCTTTGAGAAAAACACAGAATCATCATCATCACTTTGAGACAAATAATAACAAAGATATTTTTCACTTTCATTATGAAAGTGAAGAATATCTTTGTTATTATTTTTATTTTACTTTGTTATTATTGTTAAATTTTTGTTTTCTTCTACTTGATTGAAGTTTTGACAAAACATCAATCAAGTAGAAAACAAAAATTTATTTAAGAAGCTGGCGAAAATGCCACTCTTATGTTCTAGCTCTGGCACAATCATCTTCTAGTAGTGAAGAAAAGAAACTTGAGAGAAATAATGACAAATCAAAATATACACAAAACTTTTGTGTATATTTTGATTTGTTTTCAATTTTTTTTTTTTTTTTTTTTTGATTTTTGATTTGTTTTCAATTTTTTTTTCTTCATAGAAACAAGGAATTTAATACTAATAAAAACGTTTTTGATGACTAAAAATTTCACACATTATTCTAAAATATTATTTTAACTAATTTTTGTTTTAACAGTAAAAGAAATATCTAATCAATAATATCAGCAATAATCAGCTAAAGTTTTACTTATACTATATTATGAACAAACTTAACGCATGGTTATTTTATAATTGAGTTTATTTGTCAACAATGATTTAAAGTTGAATTAACGTTAAAAAAACATCGTTTAAACTAGGGTTGTTCGCCGAAAAACAAAACTTGCGAAAATTTCGCATCTTTATCTACCGTAATAGAATTGTTATTGCGGAAGTTGCACATGCAAAAATGCACATTCCGTAACGCGCCATACGAAAATATAAATAGTAAATAAAATTCCGTAATAAAGCATTGCGAAAGAAAACTTGCGAAACAAATCATTTCGTAAACAATTTCGTAATCATTTCGTAAATAATTTCGTAATACTTACTTATATATATATATATATATATATATATATATATATATATATATATATATATATATATATATATATATATATATATATATATACATTAATATAAATAGTAAATAAAATTCCGTAATAAAGCATTGCGAAAGAAAACTTGCGAAACAAATCATTTCGTAAACAATTTCGTAATCATTTCGTAAATAATTTCGTAATACTTACTTATATATATATATATATATATATATATATATATATATATATATATATATATATATATATATATATATATATATATATATATATATATATATATATATATATATATATATATATATATATATATATATATATATACATTAATATAAATAGTAAATAAAATTCCGTAATAAAGCATTGCGAAAGATATATACATTAATATAAATAGTAAATAAAATTCCGTAATAAAGCATTGCGAAAGAAAACTTGCGAAACAAATCATTTCGTAAACAATTTCGTAATCATTTCGTAAATAATTTCGTTATACTTACTATATATATATATATATATATATATATATATATATATATATATATATATATATATATATATATATATATATATATATATATATACATATATATATATATATATATATATATATATATATATATATATATATATATATATATATATAAATAAATATACATTAATATAAATAGTAAATAAAATTCCGTAATAAAGCATTGCGAAAGAAAACTTGCGAAACAAATCATTTCGTAAACAATTTCGTAATCATTTCGTAAATAATTTCGTTATACTTACTATATATATATATATATATATATATATATATATATATATATATATATATATATATATATATATATATATATATATATATATATATATATATATATATATATATATATATATATATATATATATATATATATATATATATATATATATATATATATATATATATATATATATATATATACATTAACGGGATTTTACTGTATATATATATATATATATATATATATATATATATATATATATATTTTTTTTTTTCTTTCCTGGTGGAGCGGGCCTAAATAATATTTTGTGGGGAAGGGGAAAAAATTTGAAGTTCCGCCATTGAAAGTTGTATTATGGAAAGCAAAAGATTAAAAAATATAAAGAATTGCAAAAAAAAAAAGGTAGACCTTCTTTACTGTGGAGTGATTAAAATAAAACAAACTTAAACAAATAAAAAGAACTTAAACTAGGGTTGTTCGCCGAAAAACAAAACTTGCGAAAATTTCGCATCTTTATCTACCGTAATAAAATTGTTATTGCGGAAGTTGCACATGCAAAAATGCACATTCCGTAACGCGCAATACGAAAATATAAATAAATAAAATTCCATAATAAAGCATTGCGAAAGAAAACTTGCGAAACAAATCATTTCGTAAGAATACGGTAATCGGTAAAATGCGAACTGCGAACCGCGAACTGCGAACCGGTAAAATGCGAACTTTTTTGCGAACCAAAACATTACATTTTAATGACCGCAATATAATATATTAAAGTTATATAAAACGTTTGCTATTCAATTCTTTCTTTTATTAAATAATATAATGGAATTAGATTTATTTAAATCTTTACCCGCTGAATTCGCTGTTCGGTACAAACCAAAAGCTGGTACTAATTACATTTTCTCGTGGACTAATGACAAGGATAAAGGTAAGATATGTGAATATATATATATATATATATATATATATATATATATATATATATATATATATATATATATATATATATATATATATATAAAATTTATACAATTTATTCACATTTTAAAAGAATTAAGGATCGTTTGAAGATTAAAT